TGTCCCGAAAAAATGAATTTTTACTGGTTACTTTCTGTCTCAGGACTTGCAGTCAAGTGTGGGATTTTCTAAGGTTTCTCACTGCCAGAATGTAATGAAGATGAATGTTGTGTGAGTTACTAAATATGTTTCTAAAAGTCTAAATTCTTGGAGAATCTGAGCAGTGTAAAGGAGTTTCCCTACACCGTATTTAGGGTATTTAACTGTTCTTAATGTGTGAGCACCTTTGAGGCCCTATGAGGAGACTGTGTACCCCTTGTTCTTTTTGGAGACTCTGGTCAGTTGGGGCTCATCCTGTGCTTCCTCTCAGCATAGAAATAAGAAGAGAGAGACACTGCTGTCCTTTCTTATCTTCTCTTACAGAAGTGTGGTAGCCATTGAATGGTAAGGTCCCAAGAGTGCTGAAGCAGGGTCATGGTCATTCTTGCTCTCAGACTGAGAGAGAATGCTTTGTGGTGGGCATTTTCCTGCATATACAGACTTGCTAATATTGCGTTATATCATTATGTTTGCTAACTGTCTTAAAGGTTATTGTGGCATAAAGTGAGTTCATCAGTGAAGACCATTGTATGTATTGTCTGGCTACAACCTGTATTCGACATGTGTCAAATCACTGTCACTGTCACAGTGGTTGGCCTTTGGTCATCAGAGGGACTCTTCAGGAGTCTAACCCAGCTCCCTGCATTTACTGAAACTCAATGATTATTCGAAACATCATGACTGGTTTGTGGAACCAGACCTCGCTCGGATCCAGCGTTCTCTAATCCCAGCCTTGTCTGAGGGGTTCACTCTTCAAACTAGTTCAACTTTCCATACTGCATCCTGTCACAGGAGTAGCCTCACAGCCTAGCTCTGGGGATGTTGGATTTTATCTCAGGAAGTGACTTCTATAATGGATTTTTGACTGTTGAACACCCAGCCTGAACTCAGTGATTCACCCCTCAGATGTGACCTGGCCTATTTCAGAGACAGTTGCCAAGCATAACTTGGTGCAGTTTTCATGGGGTGTATATTTCCCCACACCCCTGTCCTCTGAGGTCCTGATATTAATAACATATTTGTGTATTTTTTTTAAATTAAGCATATATTTACTTTCTTAGAGCACATAGTGTACCTGCTTGAATGTATAAAAGTTTTCTTGAATACATATTCAAGTTAAATTCAGTTTCCCTAGTTTTTTTGATGGTTATCATATTTAAAAAATTTCATAGAATATATTGTGATAACACTTTCTAACTTCCCCCAACTCCTCCCAGATCCTCCTACCTCCCCACTCATTCAAGAACTCCACGCCCATTATTCATTCTTCAGCTCTCTCTTTAGAAAACGAATAGACACACACACACACACACACACACACACACACACACACATACAAGCACTGAATCAGAAGCTATAATATACAAGCAAAAGACCAGTAAGATGAAAAAAGAAAATCCCAAACAAAGCAATATGGGACCAAATGTCTACAAATGCCTTGAGTTTGTTTTATTTTGGCATCCACTGCTGCGTGTGGTGCCTGTCTTGAAGTATGTTAACTGCACATAGCTTCTTTGTTTTGATGGGAGCCCAAGTCACTTCCCTTTCTCATCACAGGGGACTAGGGTGACTTGATCACAATCCCGGAAGTCTCTGCTGTCTGTGGCTGAGGGTTTTGTTGGGTCAGTCATTTGTCAGTATTTACACGTGTCCTCTCCAGAGTGGCTAGTTCAAGAGGGAGTCTCAAAGCTTACCCAAACTAAGCAAAATGACATTTAAAGTTTACAAAAACACCATTGAGTTCATTTTGAGTTGGCCAACTCCTCCTGGGCATGGGCCTGCCCTGAGGTGTGGTAGTATACCCCATGGGACTCTATTGGAGAAAACTGACTTCTCCTTTGCATGTGGTTGTCAACTGCAGATAGCTTCTTGGTTGAGGTTGGAGCTCCTGTCAACTTCCCGCTCTCAGCACCAGAACCTCCTCTGACTTGAACCTGTGCAGGCCCTGTGCATGCTGCCGTGGTCTGTGAGGTCATGTGTGTGTCAGTTCTGTCGTGTCTGCAAGACACTGTTTCCTTGGAGTCATCCATCCCCTCAGACTCTTAGAATCTTCCTTCCTCCTCTCCTGAACAGATCCTTGAGCCCCAATCCCTGAACCCTAAAGGGGGGCATTTGATGAAGACATCCCACTCCAGACTGAGTACTCCGAAGACTCTCACTCTGAACATGGTCTAGTTGTGGGTGTCTGAGTTAGTCCCATACACTGCAAGAGGAAGCTTCTCTGATGATGGCTGATGAGACACAGATCTATGAATACAGCAGAATATTGTTAGGAGTCATTTTATTGCTACAGTCCTTTAGCAGAACAGTAGTTTTATGAATTTATGAATAGGAATTTAAATGAAGTTCGACTTCTTCGTGCTCAATGAAATATATAAGTATTGTCTTCAGCAATACAGCTTTACTTTCAGTTTGTGGAGGGCAACCAGTAGCCTTGGCAGTAGCCCGTGATGTTTGGGGTTTTCCACAGGGCCGCTTTGACCAAAGAGTCAACTAGATGTAACCCATTCCTGGCACTGGAAGTTTCACTTGGTGGTGAAAGATGTCTAGTTGGGGCATTCTCTCCCCTGCTATTCGGTTATTCCATTTGATTTCTTGTGTGTGTGTGTGTGTGTGTGTGTGTGTGTGTGTGTGTGTGTGTGTGTGTAAAAGCTTCTACGGTACTAGGTTAAGTGGCTTTTTGTGAATGCTCCAGAAAGTTAAAAATGCCACATATTTTAGGTTAATAGTGACAAGTACTTCTAGAAGAATTTAGTTAAGAAAGCATCTAATCTGTGAATCCACGTATAGACTGTTTGGGGCTTTGATATATAACTGTAGATATAAAATTGGACAGTTCTCTTTTTTCTTTAGCTATAAAGTTATAATGTCAGTGGGGAATTTTATAAATGTGAATTTCATTTGTATTAATTTGTAATGTTTATAATCATCTATTTAAGTTGATGAATTTCTTTAAAAATACAAATAGCCAAGGGCATCCTATATCAAACACTGGACCACATCTTTCCTAGGTTATTTCATTTTATCTCTATTTTATAGAAATGGGGAAACCTGGCTTTACTAAATGCAGCTACTAAATTGCAGAGCACAGAGTGGCTAAGTCCTGACCTAGGTTCTGAGCAACTCATCTTCTGTTTCTCAACGAGCATATTTTGTCCTTTGAGGCTCTGTGAGACAGTATAGACAAAATTCCTGCTCGAGTCATCCACAGGATGAGTTCATGCAGGAAGTAGGCAAATATTAGTTCTATTTTATAGACAAATTAACACTTAAAATAAGTTGCTGTTCCCAGGTGCCACAGTTGGTACAGGATTGATTTCTCATTGTTATTCTTATGATGATCTGTGTATAATTAGTGAAGGGTTTTCTATGTGCTATTTTTATGCTCTGAAATATGTTTCGGGATGCAACATTTTGTTGAAGTTTTATTAGACATCTTTATCATCTATAGATTAAGAGTTGCTGTGTATATCATGGTCCCCTTGATGATTCAGCGTTCTTTACATCTTTTTCTCTCCTTAAATTAAAATACCCCTGAAATATTGCAATACCCCTGAAAATAATACCAGTGTCCAGTGTCAGAGCATGTTATCCTAGATTAGACCCTGAGCGGGGAGGGCAGTTTAAACTGCTCAGGCTCCTTAGCATCAAGTCACATGGAGATTTTCTGGCAGCTGTTCAGAAAAGATAACCCTGCATCACATGAAACAGAGCTTGGCCTCTAGTGATGATGACCATGAGCTTGGCCATGTTTTCTCTCGGGCTGGAGAAGAGAGAAGTAAACTGTGTCTGTCCCAGAATCGGTGTCCAGCAACAGACATCTCTCCTTTGAGAGCTTACATGTCATAAAAGTTCCAAAGATTTTTAATTCATTTCGCGTATCCTCACAAACGCCTTCACACTTTTTCCCCCCACTGTGTGTATTTGAGTGTGTATGTGAGCATGTGCAGGGGCTGTAGTACACATGTAGAAGTTAGAAGCCTGCCAATATTGGTTCTTGCCTTTTTTGCCTTGCTTAAGGCAGGGTATCTTTGCTGCTGGGTAAAGCTGGGCTAACTGGCCTGTGAGCACCCAGAGATGCCGTCTCCATCTCTCATTTTCAGGTAGGGACTGCCGGGATTGGAGATGGTTGCACTTTGCTTCTGCCTTTTATGTAGGTTCTGGGGATTTGAACTCAGATCGTCAGGCTTGTTCACCAAGTGCTTTTTCTCACTGAGTCATCTCTTCAGACTCCATCTTTGCACTTTAGAAAACAAATTATTAAGATGATTCTAACTTCAAATACCCCAAAATCTGAATCATACATGACATCACAATTTAGATGGATACAAGAGAATTTATTGCAATGAATACACAAACAAATAAAATGTATGTTTCTCCTCGTCACTGACTGGTTATGTTTGGTGTTTTTCTCTTTGTCCCAGGAGGATTCCTGTAATTTGAACTTAAATTGATGTATCAAATTAATATATGTGGGCTGGCATAGCATAACTAATTCAGTTTAAATGCTTCTTCTATAAAAACAATGAAGCAACACATTAAAGATTAAAAATGTTAGTGCACCTCACAGTAGTACTTAATAGAGAAGAGTTTTCCCATGTTAAGGCTGATGTTACATTATCACTTGACCAAACTAGGACTAAGTTTATGTATGTTTTATTCAATAGATGTGTATGTAAAAAACTAGATTTTTTTTATTTGAAGAAACTTTAATAAATCAGTATTGGCATGTGGGCAAAAAGAAATCTATCCCTTCAGGGGTCATGGGGAAGTGAAGGCATGAAGTTACTTTAACCAGAACCTTGGAGGTAAACTTGAGTGGGGATGGAAATGGATGGGCCCATCGAGTGTGGACCTTTGAAGAGATGAGTTTATCTTCTCTCATTGCCGAGTAAATGTACAGACATCAGACAGTGCTGTAAAGACTCACTTGTGTGGTCTACTGGTGTTCTCATTTTCAGATGGGCAAAGGCTATTCCGATGAGGCAGCCTTGATCCTCCACAGGAAAGGATTTGATTGCCAGTTCTCCAGTAGAGGCACGGGGCTTTCCTGTTCTACTACTCAGGGAAAGGTAAGTTAAGAGTGTGTTTTGGGCCCGGCGGTGGTGGCTCATGCCTTTAATCCCAGCACTCGGGAGGCAGAGCCAGGTGGATCTCTGTGAGTTCGAGGCCAGCCTGGGCTACCAAGTGAGCTCCAGGAAAGGCGCA